ATTTATTCAATTTTCCAAAGGAAATATCAACCATTCTCTGACATGAATCGGCCTGAATGGAAAATTAATTTGAAGACAAGCAGAATTTGTGGGTACATACAGTAAAATTCACTTCTTATAACAGAAGGTTTCAAGATCCGTTTGAGAGAATCTGCTGTTCCATCCATTTACAAAACAGACTATTTAAACAAAGAATCCATTATTATCATCACACAAAATGCAGAACAACATTATCATGGAGAAAAGATTTGATTGCAAAACGACATAATGAAATTGAAAATTTGAGAATTGAATTGCAACGTGATATATCATTGAATGGCGTTTTCAATACCGACCAAACTAGCTATAAGCATATCCATATGTGTCTATTTTATCGTATTAAAATGTTGTTACATGCATTCTCTTCTTTTTGATAACTTAGTGCCATATCGCTATAAATTTAACGAATGTTTATACCCTATTTCTATTCTCCATCTAAGGCTATTATTGATTTGACAGAAAATCTAACCTCTGAAATCGTATCTGACAATCAGACACTATTAGGGAAATTGAAAATATAAAGCTGCAGAATATATGTCTTATAATCTTATTCACTCAAATCATTGAAATAGAAAAGGACAAAAGTTCAGCTGTGTCCAATTTCTTATCTCACTAATACCATCCAGTGACTCTAGTTTGCCTTATTGATAATCCACCTCTGAGTGGTTCCTTGATATTTCTCGATAATGTATCACCCACTCAATTCTGAATCACCATGTAGAAGTCCGACCACGATTACTTTGGGACAGCACGTGGTCGCGTATGTATTGACTTTGCATATGTGTTGCGTCATGTGCTGTCCCTAAGTTGTCGTGGTCGGACTCATCTATCACTTTCGTATTTTCAATGATAAAATTTCAAGGATTTAATTTTGAATTGACTCGGCCGTTACTTGATAGAAACCCATAGTAAATGTGAAAACTTCACAAACAATTTTAAATTCGTTTGTAAAGTTTTTACAAGGATATAATTTAATGAAATTGCTCAATAGAACTGTTTTGGTTAAAAAGCTTCAGTCGTTGAGAGGTATTATTCTGGCACACTGTATAAATGATTCGATGAGACATATTCAAACTAGAAACGATACCATCCAGAACTGAAGGTGAAATAAAAATCTGATGAAATCACACTTTCAGCTGATGATATCCCTGAGGAACAATAGCTATTATTCTGGAAAGAATAATAGCCATTATTGTGAGTGGTTTCCTCTACTTTATTCACGACTAATATTACTCAAGTATTATACTTGTGGTTAAAATGCAAAAATAATTAGTATAATACTTACATTGAATATTAGTCATAGATAAAAATATTGTTGAGGTTCCAATTTCAAAATCACTCGCATCCAATTACATTATCAACAATGTAAAAAAATAATATATCGCTTAAATCAATTTGCTCTAATAAAATGAGCTACCCTGTAAAACACTCGCCTGACGGCCAATATTCACCAATCAATAAAATATAAAAACTAAAATGAAGAGCTCACAAATTGTACTGAAACATCCCACGTTTTTGTTCAAATAACAACGAAAATGCTTTGCCCCAGAGGCATTTAGGAGTCTGAACTAATTTTCATCAATTTTCCACCTTCTAATTAAGTATATATTTGCCTGTGAAATAAAAAAAAAATCAGATACTTTCACAGGGAATATTTTGTTTCTTCTCGAATCAACAGATATATATATCTTCAGTATCTGAGAAATGTGTATGTATTTCAAAGAGAACACCTTATACAGGGTGTCAGTTGGTTCTAAGACGGAAAGATACTGTTGTTTCCTTAACTATGATAGAAATCATTCACCCATGAATTTATGAATAATTGATTTCTCAATAAATAATTTGAATCCAGTATTTTGAAAACAATACAATATTGGGCTTATTTGAACTTTTTGTCTAAGAATCCCTCAATGAAGCAGTGCTTAAATTTTGCTACATACCCAATTAACACCGTGTATATGTTTTGCCTCACACTGGAAGAGCTTTTCGTAACTTTCCCCCTTAATATAGGTTGTTTCAAAATTCAGTAACAAGGGTTCAATAGTGTATTTTTCATGTTGAAATAATCGTATATTTTTCCAATAAACATTTACCTATCCACAGAGCACTGATGTTTAAGAACTTTCTTAGTTTTTTCTTTATAGTTCTTTCAGTTTCAGAGATAATTGGCGTTTATTTTTGTATTTTGTTAACAATTTTCTCCTTTTGGTTCGGGATTTGATCTGAATATCTCAAAAATTAAGAAAATTGAACTTCAACGCTCTGTATACCTGTAACGATGCGTTTGCGGACCAAAAGTCTCCCTGTATATTCATCTTCCGTAATTTTTAAATATGGGCAATAATACTAACAATAATTCATTACAAGGTACAGTATCAATTTTTCAGGGGCTTTTTTTTTTTCAGATCAAAATAAGAATTTTTTCACATACATGTGTCCGCAATCGCTTCGTTACATCTACAGACTGTTAAAATTTCAAGATTTTTTTATTTTTCAATTTTTATAGCTCTTATACTTTTCCACATACTCCGATCAAATTCGAAACTCAGGTTACGTATCAGGGTTCACATCATACAGTGTGCCAAGTGATTGTAAAAATCTACAGAAAAACTTTTTTGTGGGGCGCCACTGGTAAATTTTGAAAAACGAAATGAGTTTTTTGTCTCTTGTAATTTTTACGCATCTGCGATCGTTATCGAGAAGAAAAACATATTTCTTTCAAATTGATAGGTTCAATTGAAGTTTTTAAGAGAAGGGGGAACCTATTATCACAATGAAAACAAAAAACGCTACATATTTAGTTTGTGATCTCAATGACAAGTTTTCAAACATTATCTTAAGAATAAGAAACCTAAAGGTGGCACAGACATGTGCGTTTGTCAATCATGCACGCGCGTTGATGTTTGCCAGTGTTTGGACGAAATATAACGTCAAAATTACACACTTGTGCGTCAACCAAGTATTCCGAATTGACCGGAAAAAATCAACGCACAAGCAAAAACTTCAATCTAGTATACAAATTGTCGGTGTGTGGCACAGCGTCACACTTCATTCGCATATATGGGGCTACATTCCGAATTCAACTGGCAGTACTGAATCTACTGATTTTTCATTCCGAAATAAAAAAAATCACGAAATACATGTGAGTAGACATACTATCCATTCCAAATATTTCGACTCAATATTCTACTGACATTGATGACTATCAATAGTGAGTGTGACTTAAGTGAAAATAAAATGATAATATCATACTGTCTGTAGGTTTTTAATATCAGAAAATGCCCGTTATTCAAATAATTGTAGAGATAAACGAAAAACTACAAAAGTGACAATCTGACTACTGACAAATTTCACCAGCTGATCAATTGCTGCTGATTAAGTGTCCCGAATCACAGCACGATTTTATATTTCGGAACACATATTTTCAGCAGAGTTAGTGGACTACAGTGGCTTTATTTCAACTGACAGTACTGAATCTGCTGATTTTTCATTCCGAAATAAAAAAATGCACTGAAAGTGACAGATACTTGTGAGCAAACATAGTATTCATTCCAAATTTTTCGACTCAACATTCTGCTGAAATTGATGGCTATCAAAAGGTAGTGTGGCTTCAGTGAACTGTCATTACTTTAGAGGGGAAAGAAATGTTACATTTATTTTCGTTGTATTTTAAACATTTAGTCATCTCTTATCGATAAAAAATCAATATTATCATATTCATTATCAGAAAATGCCTGTTATTATAATAATTGACGCTTGAATGATATTCAAATTTCACCAGCTGGTCAACTGCTGCTGATTACTGATGAAAACGTGTTCCGAATTACAGCACAATATTTTTGATTTCATATTTCGGAACACAGATTGTCAACAGAGTCAGTGAATTTAATGACAATACTGATCAGTTGAATTCGGAATATAGCCAGTTTCTCGCGTATATTCAAGTTATTGTTCACTGTCAGTAACGATGTCTGATTTGAAACAATTTCATATCTTTATAATTACATACAGTCCCTGAATAGCGACGTGTTAGAATAGTTTCCTTTTTTTCCTTTCTCCATTCTTCCAGAAGATTTATGTGGATATATTTTGTTCTATTTCGTCAATGGGAAACTGATTTTCTTATTATTCAAACCGTGCTAATAAAATGTATTCGTCATTACTGCTCATCGTTCACTAATAAACTGACATGTTCGACAAGCTAAAATGAAGGTCTGTGGGTAAAACTCAAGTGTCATACATGAATTACATACATTATTTCAAACAACTACGCTAGTCTGTTAACGAACCTTGATTTTTTATAAATCGTATTGGAAAATAAAGAAATCTTCAAACTTTAACGCTCTGTAGATTGGTAAAGAAGCGTTTGCGGACACATATTTACACGAAAAAAATTCTTATTTTTACCTAAAAAAATAAGTCCCTAAAATCTTGATACTAAATTTTGAAACACTCTGTATATACAATGTTCTAGTTAAAATTCATGCACTTTTTGTAATACTCTCCCTCCTGTAGAGTGTGTCCCGTTTTCGATGCTTTTGCGCGATATTTCAGTTATCTTTTGGAGATACTTTTTTGTGAAACGAATAATGCCGTACACAGAATTTTCGCAGTTCCTCATGATTTTGAGATACAAGGCGAAGTTGAAAATTGGGCACTTCCTGATCTTGGTTAATTTTAAACTGGAGGATGAGAACGTGGCCTTACATAACTTTCTAGGTATATTACAGTGGCGTCATCATTTTATTTCTATAATTGCTCATTTTTAAAAAATGAAGACAAAAAAAAAATTTTAAAAAAATGTTATAAATACAATATATTTTTGATGAGCTATACGAATTCTGAATCGAACTGGATAGAAATATACAGGATCTTCTATTTGAAAAAAAATGGCTTCATTTTCTTATAATGAGCGATTACAGAAATAAAATGAGTACGCCACTGTATTATAAGTAGAAAGTTATACAGGCCCCGTTCTCATCCTGTCGATGCGTTGAAAAGTAACCAAGATACGGGAGGTGCTCAAAAAGTGGGAATTTTGAACTTCGCCCTGTATCTTAAAAACATGAGGGACAAAAAAGTGAGGCAGTAACGTGAGAACCGCAACACTTTATCTCCAAAAATAACTGAGATATCGCGCAAAAGCATCGAAAACAGGACTCACTTTACATGAACATGTTTCTGTGAATTAGAAAAGGAAAGCTATTTTGATTTTTTTCAGAGGCAAAAATGAAATAGTAGGATGACAGCATTGGGATAAGAAATGTGGCATATTCTTCTAGTCTCCGAACCTCTAAGGCCTAAGGAGTAGCAAACCATTAATCATTCTCAAAATAATTTAGGCCGACATCTGAATCATAATTTGGCATTCAATATTTCCTGGGCCTGTTCCAATTCAATCTGCGAACCCTTATTTTCGAAGATCGATCGAACAAAATCCGAATAAAATTCTAAACTATATCACTGGATTCACCCTCGTCCTCGCGTTCCTTGAAGAACCCCTTCTCCGTTTTGCACTCCCTTATCGTGACAGTCTTCAGATTCACTGTGACGTCAGTGATAAACACCTGAGGAGCGAGAACGCAATTCGATTAATCAACGCATGTTGAGGTTATTTTATATTGGGTGGTCCAGTTTTCAGGACCCAGACTGGTAGCGCCTAGAGTTCCTCATTGTAATTGACACTTTTGTTTTGACGTTTTTTGTATATAGGTCGCGTGCACATTTGGCAGATGATCCTGGAGGTGAATCCTCACTTTTCTCATTCGTTAAAAGATACATAGGCCTTGAATAGTTTTCCACAATTATTCAGGCATTCGAATAATGTTTCTTGGGATATTCATTTATTCCAGCATGCCATCACATTGTGCTGCTGTACAATGCACAAAAAATGCAGCGACAGACAAAGGAATACAGATTTTTCACTCACATTTAGAATTCCTTCTGCAATAGGAGCTAATAAAAACTTATGGAGTTTCTAAGTAAAGGCAAGCTTGCATTCGTGCAATCAAACGGGTCTTAAATACTGACGAAATATGGCATTCACGGAATTCTAAAGAGAAATCACAAGGGTCGTGTGTATTGTAGACATTTTCACTTTTGCAAAAGGAACTCTGAAGAGTTGTGACAAAATTATAGAATGAAAACTATGTGAGTGATTATAGACTACCTTCATTTATGCATTGTTCAGGCTGTCCCATTTTCGATGTCCTGATAACTCACTTATTTTCATGGATTAAGATTTGCGGTTTTCGCGAACGTTGGCTACTTTTTTGTGACACTCATGATAGCCCATACAAACTTTTCAAAACTCGCTTCGTTTTTGAGATACAGGGCGAAATTGAAAAATTTGGATAATGCTATCTCATCGAAAAAGTACAAACTGTTTACGTAGAATCCAGTGGCGTAGCCAGATTTTCAAAATAGGCTGATATTATTCAGATATAACCCAAAGTTATGTTTTTTAAATTGGAACCCTATATATTTTTTTATTTGGAATATTGAGGCTTTGCGCTTCCCAAAAATATATAACATTAATGAGATATTCAAAGTATTAGCCATAAATTGAGATAATATCTCATTTTTCACTAGATTTCTCATCGATGGGCCTTGAAAATATGTGGCAACAGTGTCCATATCACAAATTTTATATTCACCTTGTTGCTAATACAGTGTTTCGTCATACAATAGTTCCAATTATTATACCAACATTCAATATTCAACAATAATCAGCACTATTTATTCACTATAAAATCTACGGATCTATCTAGTAGGTGGTTATGGAAAAAAGCGAGTGCAGAATTCTTCTTCCATCCCAACTATGTCTAATTTTTCGTGGTAATTATATCCTGATTGGTATACGTCATCGTATGAAAAATTCGTAAATTCGACAGGTAGGTGACAAGGCTTAAGACACATTCTGAACTAAATTTGTTCACCTACTAGTAAGGTCCACAGCTTCTATAGTCAACAAAAATATTGCTGCATATTGGTAAATGTTGTATGCTGGTGAAACTAGTATGTGCCGAAACATTGTATCAGCAATAAGGAAAATATGGATATTCGTGATATGGCAACATTGTGCCACATATTTAAAAGGCCCATTATATTGAAAAACTAGAAACTATCTAAATTCATGACTCACACTGGAAATATTGTATACAAGTATTATATATTTTTGAAAAGCGCAAATAATAAATATGAAAAAATATACAAGGTATTCATTTAAAAAAACATAACTTTGGGTTATATCTGAATAATAACAGCTTATTTTGAAAATCTGACTAAGCCACTGAGAGAATGTATGAGTCAGTTTTTACTTTTCCTTTTAATTTGAAAGATAACTGAGATCAATGGGTAGTCCCAAAACGCAACATTTTCAATTCCGCCCTCTATCTCAAAAACGAAGCGAGTTATGAGTTTCACGAAAAAGTAGCCAACGTTCGCGAAAACCGCAAATCTCGATCTTTGAAAATTAGTGAGATATCCCGTTATGACATCGAAAATGGGACAACAGCACAATGTGAAATACGATTTGTATGCCAAAATAATTGTGAAAAACTATCATATGTTTCGCCAGACAAGGAGAAGAATATGTTTTTCGCTTATAACAAAGCCTTCTCGCATTTTCCTTCTTCTACATGTCAGGGAAGAGTATATCCATATTTATCTTCCTTTGTCTTTCATTTTCGAATGAAAGTGCATAGCGTCTCCTCGAGGATACGATAAATTAAACAAAAACTGATTTATTCCTCACATATGGGATGATCGGGCTGGAGAGCCCCCATGGAGGTCGATGACCAGTCGGTACATAAATAAATATATACCAATGATACCATTACTATTAAATCATAATAATCTGAAAGGTTGAATAATTTTTGTAGTACAAAAATTCAGAATCGGTTAAAAATTCATAAATTACAACCAATGAAACATTTTATTTCGTACGCTCATAAATAGTTTTTTTTGGTTCCAAGTTGGAAGGTTCTTTTCCATACTCGTTCGGTTTATGAATTTTGGGTTCGGCTCTTTCTCTCAATACAATCCTGTTCTTTATCATCAAATTAATCTCGAGTCTGAAGTGTTGGTATTAGAAATGTGATAAATAATATTCAACATCCTACCAAGACATTTGAATACCTCGCAAATTTTGTTACCAGCCCCATGCCAGCCGCTTCATGTTTTGTTTCCATATTTGTGAAAGTGTGTTATTGGATGAAAAATCGAATAAAGTGAATTCATTCCCAGTATTTTCACAGTTGGAAACAGAATAAACTTGCATCTCATTCTACCAATTTCATCAATTTGACAAACCTTTGAAATTGATGTTTTGTGCGTTCGTGTACTATCAGTTCCCGCTTTTTCCATCAATTCATTTGGGGTTATGTCTGATTGTCACTGCTTGTCATAGTGTCCGTACTCTAAATATACAAAAATGTCAAAACAATATCATCAGGTATATTGAGGAACTCTACACCTTCTCCAAAGTAATTCAATTACATAAAGATTTAATTATATTTCAGAATATTCACTTCTATTTCAGAAAACGTCAATTGTATTTCAGAATAGGCAATTGGATTTCAGAAAGTGTCACTTGAATTTCAATTGATATTTTCTGAAATTCAATTGACACTTTCTGAAATTCAATCGACTAATCTGAAATTCAATTGACGCTTTCTGAAATACAACTGGAAAAGGTGTGCTAGAAAAAAACAGATGATAATTGACACAATATTTTGAAATGAAAATAAGAAGTCTACATTGTTATACATGCACAACTACAATAATTGTTATTATCAAATGTCAATATTGTCTTGCCTCTCCGCTAGCCCCTACGAGAGCGCCAATTCTTTTTGGAATAACAAAACATTGAAAAAATCTTGGGGAATACCTATCCATGATGACCTCCGTCATTTCTTGCACGCACAAGTCTCTTGAAGACTTCTGAGGGTTGCTCGTTAGGGGGCAACCAAATGTTGGATAAGAACAATTTTAGAAGGGATTTGAAACTGAGTCATAAATATCAGCACTTCAAATCAATAGGTAATGCAATTTCACTCACAATTTTGAATAATCCATGCACCAACAGAAATCAACTATCTAACTAATTATGCAACTTTTCAGTACCAAGAATTACCAGGTAGGTACTAGGTAGGTATTATTGAGTTATCTAAATCTCGATCATTAGTAGGAATTCAATAGGATATTTTTATTGGTACTGAAACATTTTGGAATTATATGTATAAGTATTCAATAAGTTGTTATATTAGGGACCGTCGAAACTATTGGCTTCTGTGAATGTTAATACTGTATTATTAGTCATATAGAATTTCATAAAGTAATTACTAGTTACAAATCTGACAGAAAGCCAGAATGACGTCATTGAACCTGGCATTATTCAAAGTCGCCGAATTCAATTATTGAAAAAAAAATATTTGCGATCATTTTAAATAACGAATGATTGCATCCAATACTATTTATACACGGTATGATCAATATAAAATAGGTATGTGGCGTGTATACAACCCCATTACCACGGTATGATCAAAATAAAATAGGTATGTGGCGTGTGTACAACCCCATTGTCTCGCAACTATTTCATGTCCGTCGAGTTGCTCCAAGGTTGAAACCCAAGACAAAAAAACTACGAATCTCACCTGATCGGCCACCGGATTTCTCGCCAGCCAGTACTCGGAGCCCGGACTGGCCAACAGCGCCATCTCGCCCGCCTCCGCGTCAGTGTCGTCGTGGCCGTTCACGGGGGCGGGTTTCCCCTCAGCGGCGACGACAACGGCGGCAGAGGGATGGTGCTGGTGGTGGGGGTGGTTCTCCGGCTTCGCTTCTTGCTTCTTGTCCGGCCTCTTCTCGTCCGTCCTGCAACGGGGAACAGTAATAATATAGTAATAGTAATATTATGTAACAAGTATTTTACGCACGAGCGCAGCAGAATGGAGCGAGTATTTAATTAACGAGTGCGGCAACGCCACATCTGTCGACACCAACTGCTATCTCTCAATTTTGGAGATATATTTTATCTGGAAGCGTTCAATCTCTATTTCGGAGTGTATTGTTTAATTGGCCTTACATGTGTTTATTCTCGATTTGAAAATGTTTGGACTCACTTTGGGAGTGATATTTCTGAATTCAGAAACGTTTGATCCCAATTTGAGAGTGATGTTACTCAATTTGAAAGCGTTTAATCTCAATTTGAGTTTATTTTTTCAAATATGATGGGGTTAAATCCCAAGTTGGGAGTGCTATTAGCATGGCCGTATAAACAAAGAAGTACCCATTTTTTTACATCGTAATGTGAAGCCAGAGAATACGGTCAAAGTAGGTCACCTGATGTTGAATTGGAGGTTGTCACGTCCTGTCGCTAATAATTCGTACTCTCAGTCTAATCCTCTCAAGTATTTTTACTTACCTCTTTTGTAATCATCTATTCAATTAGATGTTCATTATGATCCAATTCATAGATCTCATGGAATAAATGTCCATAGATAGTCACAATCAAATATTATGAAACTGTCATTATACATTATTTCAAAGTTATTCTGTGAAGGTTACCGAGATTATATACAACAGACAACGCCGCCGCAAAACAGGCTCGTTTCTTGCTTTCGGCACCTTTCGGCAAGTTCGGCGTTGTTTGTTTTATGGTTATGTGTTTGAGGACGTTTATTGTTTTCGTTGTTTTTGAGTGAATTTTCTCATTTTTTTTGTGAACAGTTGATAGACAGAGACTAATAATGGTGTTACACTGCTGGAGTTGCGAAAAAACAAAGTTTTTGTACCCAAATCTCACCTTCCATTCGTAAGTACTATTTATTTACATGTTTGAATTAGAGTTTCATAGGCGTAACAATTGATATTATTTTCTACAAATAGAGAATGCGAAGTCTCAATGTATTTATTCATATATGTATATATCCATTTTTTTTACGTACATGAATTATCTGAGAACATTCCTTTTCAATGCTTTTCTGTTAAGAGGAAGTTGTACTATGATATAAAGCAATAATGCAAGGGTTTCGTTGTCCCTAACTTTTCACGGTCATTTTCCATTTCGAGTGGATGAAAAAAATTGTACATATTCATGAAGATCTTATAAATGTTCCTGCCGTCTCACTTTTTCGAAATATGATTCGGTTCTTGAGAAAAAAACTTTAAAATCATCAAAAAACACGTTATTTTGCAATTTTTTTCAGAAAAAAACTGAATCAAATTTTGAAAAAGTGAGACGACAGGAACATAGATTAGATATTCACAAATATGTATTGTTTTTCTCATTCACTCAAAATGAAAAATGAACATAAAAAGTTAGGGACTACGAAAACCTTGCATGGCAATAATTTATGTCCAGAGAGTGGCGCCGTTCTCAGAATTTATAGGAATTAACATTTATGAAAGGAGATGAAAGATACATTTTTTATTTGCAATGTTTACGAGGGTCTGGCATGTGTGAAAAATTGAAATTTCATAATTTCAGTGGGATATCATATCATCATTATTCCATATCATTTCAGACTGCTCCAATATACCTAGAAATTCAAGAATATACGGCAATGTATATTCTTGAATACTTGTATAATTATTGTATCGTAAATAAAATATTTCTCAATTTGAACAAATGTTTTTTCATCTCGTTTACTAAAAATATCAATATATTCTCATACGATTATAATTTCAATAACACCATTTTGAAGAAAGTGGATAAAATCAAAGATCTTGGTGTCGTTTTCGACAGAAAGATGACATTCTCAGCACATATCGACTATGTTGTAACGAAAAGTAACAAAACCTTCATATTAAGACAAAGTAAAAACTTCAATTCCATTCAAGCATTAAAATCATTATTTTATTCTTTTGTCTATAGCAGACTTAATCACGCAACGGTTGTGTGGAATCCTCAGTATGCTGTGCATAAGAACAGATTAGAGTTGATTCAAAACAAATTTTTGAGATTTATGTACTACAAGGTTAATGGTACTTATAATCACTTGGCAAGCACATGTAGACTTAGGGAACAGTTTCAGTTCTATTCACTAGAGGCTCGTCGAGAACAATCTGATATCTTCTTTTTGTATAAAGTTCTAAATAATTTATCTGATGCTCCAGATCTATTGTCAAAAATCTCAATTCATGTCCCCTCACGTTTTCTTAGACCTAACAATACTTTATTTTTTGTATCATTTTGTCATACAAACTTAGGAGAAAATTCACCACTACATAGAATGAAAAATCTGTACAATCAAAAAATGTTTTCTGTAGATATTTTTCAATCCTCACTGAATGTTTTCAAAAAAAAAAAAAAATCAGATACATATACAATTCTCACAGTGCACAGAATATTCAGCAAAAATTGTAATCATTTCAATGATGAATCTTATTTACTTCATTATCAAATTTTTCAAATTTATTTTAGTTTTTGGGTTAATAATTTATATGTACACCATAAAACTATGTAATAATTGTGGATAACAATCTGGAACTTGGGGTCTGTCGTTATCCTATTTGATTTTCAATAAATGAATAAATAAATAAAATGTTACGGTGAGGTTCTCAAAATTAACATTCAATAATAAAATTAGAAACATATAAATAATAATTGTGAATAAGTATATATAAATTTAAATAACTATTCGAATTGAATTAAATGCTCATATATATATATTATATACCGGGTGGCTACGGAAGTATTGCCTACGGAATATCTCAGTTATTGTATGAAGTAGATTTGTGAAATTTGAAGCGTCGATATAATGAAATAAGAGCTAGAATTTCAGCATATTGACATGTCGAAGTTAACTTCCGGTCTGACCGGAAGTAACATCAACTTTCTTATTTCAAATGGAAACCCTATTTTTTTTCTTTTCCCTTTATTCAGCATTCAATTCCCTTTCTAATGACATATCACAAGTTGGTATCTAACCAGAAACTAGATCAGAAAAAAATTATTATTGAAATTCACCGAGTAGGCCGTGGAAGCAAAATGAAAGCCAAAAATTGAAAAGTTGGCCTATGGAAACCATACGTCACTTGATAACAGTTGCTACTACTGTGATATTTTATTTTCATTCGTCGACGTTATAGAAAGCCGCCAAAAAAATATTGGAAAAATTGGGAAAAAAACAATACTCTGTATAGGTCCATAACTTAAATAGGAACATACAACTTTTTCTTGCCTGTACTATTCAGCATAACCATTCCTTTCTAATGATATAATAGAAAGTCATTTTTTGAAATGAAATGCCAAAAAATCCAATTATTATTCTTCAAATAACAAAAAAACAGATTTATCAAAAAAAAAATTCAAATTGATAATTTTTTTCTGATCTAGTTTCTGGTTTGGACACCAACTTGTGATATGCCATCAAAAAGGGAATTGAATGCTGAATAAAGCGAAAAGAAAAACAATAGGGTTTCCATTTAAAATAAGAAAGTTGATGTAACTTCCGGTCAGACCAGAAGTCAACTTCGACATGTCAATATGCTCAAATTCTAGCTATTATGTCATTATATCGACGCTCCAAATTTCACGAACCTATTTCATACAATAACTGAGATATTCCGTAGGCAATACTTCCGTAGCCACCCGGTATACATGATGTCTCATTTCCTAATGAGACAATTTTTCCCTTGTGATAATTTAATATTATTGTTAAATATTCATTGACCTATGTACATTTGTTTCTTATCCTTACTACAAGGTTCACTTTAAGGTTTTTCCCAGTTTATTAAAAATACCTATCTGTATGTTCCAATGTATATTTTGTAAACGTTTTTGAATAAACTTTTATTATTATTATTAATATTCCTTGAGTTCCAAAATCATGGAATATTTTGAAAAATAAAACGTTATGAACGTTTATTAATGCATATAATTTGAATTAGGATAACCTGGGGAATAATAAGGACGGTCGAATCCAAAACAATTGTGGAAACGATCGAAAATCTACTGCCATCCAGTTATAGGCATATCAAAACAATATTTAACGAAATAAAAAAGAATGCACTTTTTTGTCGATATCAAAGTATTCTCGACGACGACTCATTAGCGCTGCGGTTTGACAGGCGTCTACTGTTCTTTGACCCTCGCCGCATGATTTATCAATCAATCTGTCATTATTATTATACATTTGTGATGTAATAGAAATTGTAGATACCTAGCTCCTATAATTCTATATTTTTTATTACTTATTTTTTTATTTCTGTGTTATTTGCATTACATGTCATATAGAAAGCAAGTATAATTATAATGTATCATAGTTTCAAAAATAAAAATGAAATGATACTCAGTCATATTGTCTAGTAATAATCCTTATCCTTATTATAAACTGTTAGCCATGAATGAGGATATAGTTGACAGTATTTTGCATCTGCATCGTTATCAAATAGATTCGCAAACTGATCGGATTGAGTGATCTACAATTAATCAGACAAAAAGTTGTTCTTCAGGGGGTCAAAAAAGTGGTTGATGAAGAAGTGAAAATAATAGATAACATAGTGTATATAAATTTATTTTGACCTCATTAGACGTGGTAGTTCTGTGTCCCAGCAATTTTGGGACACTCTTTATAGTTGTTTTGTTGGTGTATCATATGGAAAAAGATACAGAACTTTCAATGATTCCTTATATAGTACCGAAATTTCATTATTTTGATAATCTATTCTGTGTACCAGTTCACCACACCACAGTTATATAAAATCCATTATTCAATATGTGAAAACCAGAAATCGGAAAAAACGTTTCTATAGGTAGGTAGGCATCAAAGAGGGTATTTTCGCCAAATTAATTTATAATTTTCCAATAGATGAAACGTTTTGTCCAAACACAAAACTGTATTTGATATGTTCACTTGGTATAACCCATAGCGACCCGTATTGATAAACGGTCATATAGTGATTGGTATTCAGTTTTTAGTAGCTCTTTGCATTTTGGATTCCGAAATTTACTATCATGATAATTCATTTTCGCACGCCGCTGTCGTTTGAGGAAATAGCACAGTCTATCGTTACCGTTTCCCTTCCCCTCAACCCGCTTGCCTACATCTCAAAACATTATATGCTGAAAGTATTGAGTTGCTGTGTCCTTCTTTTTTATACGTCCATGGTTTGATCTCAATTTGGGAGTATTACAGTTGAAAATTGTTGAGTGTTCAATACCAATTTCAGAGTGTTATTTTTCAATTTGGAAGAGTTTAATTGCTATTTGGGAAATTTTGGAGGGATTCTTCAATCTGGAAGCGTTTGATCTCAATTTGGGAGTTTTACAGTTGAAAATTGTCAAATCTCAATTTTGGAGTTCGTTTTCAAATTTGGAAGCGTTAAATCTCAATTTGGGAGTGTATAGTGATCAATTTCAATTTGAGTGATAATTATTGATTATTTTCAATTTGAAAGTGTTAATTGAATTGAATGTGTATTCCCAATTTGAAAACGTTTCTTAATAAAAATAATAATAATAATAAACGCTCTTTATTGGTTATGAATTACAACCAAAAGGCCATTGACCGGAGTCCTGCAGCCAGTCAATTTCAATATACATGGTATTTCAATAATTTCATTTGCATAAAAATGTGAATAAAAAAAAAGGATTTAAATTTATAAATCTTTAGTCCAACTGATCTTCACTAAATGATGTAAGTATTTCTTCTATTGTTCTTCCTGGGAATTTGAAACGTGATCTCACATCTTCTCTTAGAATCAAGTGGGGTATTAAAAGCTCCATGTTGCTGGTCTTTAGGGCGAATTTTTGAAATAACTTCCTCAGTTTCTCTTGTATTGGTTCTATTTTAGTTTTAAGGTACAATTATTGATTTTATTGGTTGCGTAGATAGTTGTCAGGGTGTCTCATTCTAGTTATTGTTCTTAGGTATAACGGTTCTGCAGTTTGAATCTTAATTTGGGCGTTATGTTTCTGAATTCTGAAATGTTTAATCCTAATATGGAACTGATGTGTTTCAATTTTAATTCGTGCAATATTAATTTGATATTTCCTTTCAGCTTGAAAGTATTCGATTCCAATTTGAGAGTGATCTTTCTTGATCTACAGTCGAAAAAGTACAGTTGGTTGATTTTGATGGATCCTCACCTAGAAGCTACGGGTTTGGGCGACGCCGGTTCCCTCGTCGACGAGTGCGGCAACGTCGCATCAGTCGACACCAACCGCTGGTCGGCGCACGATTTCGGCGCCGCCGCCGTCGTCAGCACCGCGAGGCTGGACGCCGACGGGATGGCGGACGCTGACGCCGACGAGGCGGCGGAAGACGCCGACGACGCCGAGGAGGAGGTAGACGATGACGTCGACGTCTCTTCTTCGCCGCCGCTCTTTGAGCCGCGTCGACCGTTTGGCGTGCGGGAGGCGGGAGGTGGGGGAGCGATCTGTTGCTTCGGCGGTACTTTCGACGACTGTGAGCAGATGAAATCATTATAATGATTATTTTTCTCGCATGTCAAAATGTGACGTGTTTGTTGTTTCAACCAATAACAACTCGTAATTATAGCCAATAATTCTGTATATTATTGATATTGACAAAACCTTGTTTACATTGAACTATCAAAATTAATCTGACTTCAGTGTCCGCCAACTTGTTTCTTTTGACCTATCTTATGTGTAAGTAACAATAAAACCAATTATCATACATAACTTTTATAATTGTCTTTCAATTCATCCACACAAATGTTTCATTTCTTTCAGAGATTATATTATACGCTATACAGAGTCCGGACGATTTACTAGGGACAGTATTGCTATCTCCTAAACGGTAAGAGATAGAAAGTTGATTAATTTAGACAAAAGTTGCCTCGAAAGTTGCATAATTTGAACCTCTTCAATATGCTGTTTTGCGAACTGAAAAAAAATCATCCGTTCCTGAAATATTTAGAAATTACTGAAAATCGCTGATTTCGTTTTCATTCATTTTCTCAGTTAATGTTCGATAAAAAAATGAAAATTTGTGTGATCAGGTATTCAATCAAGACAAAGAAGTAGACATCATCAGAAATATTCTATCTTCATCAGTTTCAGAGATATACTATGCAACTTTTGTGTTGTTTATGGGCGCCATATTGTTTTTATACCATTCAATTGGGCTAAAAATGCTCTTTACAGCCATGCATAACATATCGACATAATCACATGAAACAGCGTCAAAAAACAGTAAAAACCATTTTTGCTAGTTATCACTGCTCAAAAACTGCCATACTTTTTGAAATGTGGTGGGCCATGATAATAAAAAAACAGAATATTTCAATCCCTATGACTACAGTATTGATAGTTTTTTGACATAAATGTATCTCATCATTTTGAAGTGAGTTTTTCAGTGTTTTTATTTCGAAAATTGTAGAATAGTGCGTTATAGTGTCAGTTAAAAGAAAATATATGTATGACGTTTACATTATGTGTTATGGGAGAGTTGATAATGCAGTTCGAGAATATGCTAGATTATATCCAGTTAGAAATTCTCCTTCAAGGAAAACATTTCATTCAATTTCAAAAAATTCAACAGAATTTGGATGTGTTTTCAAAAAGCGAGGCAAACACCGTGTTAGAAATGCATATAATGAAATCAATGGCTTATTGGCACAAGTGAATATCAATCCTGAACTTTCTTCAATATTCATTAGTAACAAATGTGGAATAAGCGCAACGTGGGTTCAGAAAATTCTTTTAAAACATGAGTACCACGATTTCAAGTATAAAATCGTTCAAAAACTTCACCCTGGAGATCCCGAGCGTAGACTTACATTTTGCAATTGGTACCAAGAAATGTTAGCATATGTCGATTTGTTGACAGAAATTATGGAAGAATTGCCTCTAGCAACCTTACAGGACATTAAATGGTTCATGCAAGATGGTTGTGCAGCTCACAATTCTGCCTTTGCCCGAGATTTCTTGAATACTAATTTCAAAGATGATGAATTGGGTCGTATGGTCCAGTAAGGTGGCCTCCTAGGTCGCCTTGTCTCAATCCTCTCGATTACTTTTTATGAGAATTCCTGAAGAGGAATTGCGGCAGAGAATTACTTTGGCTTTCAGAGATATAACATCTGAATTTGTATCCAGTGCAATAGGACAGTTGCGGTTAAGAACCCAAAAATGTATCGAAAATAATGGCGGACACTTTGAACAACACTTATAAAAATATTATAGAAGGTTTTTGTTTAGTGTTATGCTCGGACTTGAGTTTGTAGTCAGACAACACTTCTTACTAAAATTTGTTTTATTAGTTACATAACATCTCTACAATAGAAATAAACCCAACCAATAGCAACCGTCCAGTTAGTCGTTGTTTCTTGCTGAATGTTGTAGGTTGTACAAAATATGTAGTGAAAGCCATTTTTACTGTGAAATTAAATAATATAAAGTACAGATACAGCTAGTCATTCATTTGCTTCCAGAAGAAAGCTACCATAGGTTATGAGCCCAGAATTGAATTGACTAGTTTGTATAAATAAACGCTGGAAAATTTTGTACAGTGGGATCAGTAAAACAAAGCGGAACGGAAAGAAAGGAAGCCGTCTAGAAGGAATGTAAAATGGCCGAAAAACAGCAACTTTTTTACGTGAAACCGTTTGATGGTAATTCGTTTTCAAATTGGGAATTTCGAGTAAAATTACTGCTGGAACAACAAGGTGTATTAAATGTACTCACGGAGGAAGCCCCTACAGATGCTGAGGAGTTGTCAAAATTCCAAAAATGCGAAATAAAGGCAAGAACCATAATAGTACAGTGCTTAGAGGACAACATTTTGGAAATGATCAAAACGAAGAAGTCTGCCAAGGAAATGATGGAAAGTTTAACGAATACATATGCCAAAAAGGGTATCTCTACCCAAGTAGTACTTCAGAGAAAATTACGAAGTTTGAAATTTGCAGAAGGAAATGCACTTACAGACTTCCTAACAGAATTTGATAAAACTGTATGTGAACTAAGAGCAGCAGGTGGTTCTGTGGATGAAAATGAAATCATCCTGCAGCTCTTATCAGCTATGCCTGAATCGTATCAGTCTGTAACCACTGCAATACCACTTCAGGAAATGGAAATATGGCGTTCTCAGGATACCAAAGATATAGAGGTGGATATAATAGAGGTGGACATAGGTTCAAGAAAACTGGAAATCAAAGTGGAAATCAATCTTGCACTGACTCTGGGCACTTTCCTTTTAGATATCATCAGTGCATCCAAGAAATATGAACAGTAGAGGGGGATATACAAAAACAAGTGCACATGTAGCCGAGGAAGGAAAAAATGACACAGAAGAGGAACCAATAGCATTTTTAACCTCAACAGATCAAGCATTGTCAAACTCAATGTGCAATGACCCACTCTCTGTTAAGTTTGTAGTAGATAGTGGAGCCAACTAACCACCTAGTGGGAACAAAACTAAGTCACTTCATGACGAACAAAAAGGACATAAAAATAAACATAAATGTTGCTTAGAAAGGAGAGGTGATTGTTGCTACAGAAGAAGGAGACATACAGCTTCAAAATGAATCAGGAAAATCAATAAATATGAAAAATGTCTGAGTGCGTGAAAAATTATTTCACAACCTGATATCAGTTCGAAAACTGGAAGAAAGTGGCTTGAAGGTAACCTTTGAAGAAGGAAAAGTTATCATTTTGAAGAATGAAGAAATAATACAAGAAGGAAAGCTACAAGGAAATTTGTATATTGTTTTTCTTCATCTCAGGTTGAATTCTGTAGCAAATGTAACAACAATTGAAGATGAAATGCTACTTCATAGAAGGATGGGACACTCTGCAACATATCCAGCACCAAATCCATGTGAAGTTTGTCTCAAAGCTAAGCAAACACGTTTACCATTCATTGAAGTTGATGAAAACAGAAAAGCAAAGAGAGTATTGGAAATTATATCTTCAGATGTATGTAGACCAATAACACCACCAACCCATGACAATAAAAATTATATAGTGACTTTCATTGACCATTTTTCACATTTTGGTGTGTGTTACATCATTAGCCAAAAGAGTGAGGTTTTGGAAAAATTTAAAGAATATGTTGCTATGGTCAAGGCAAAGTTTAATATGAAAATTGAGAAAATCAGATGTGATAATGGTGGGGAATACTCTTCAAATGCTCTTAAAGGTTTCTGCAAGGAAGAAGGAATTGTATTGCAATATACAGTGGCATACAATCCCGAGCAGAATGGTGTTGCTGAAAGGTATAACCGCAATATCATGGAAAAAGCAAGATGTCTTATTTTTGATTCTAATTTGAACAAAGAATTGTGGGGAGAAGCTGTTAGAGCATCAGTAAATATCATAAATAGATTGAAAACAAGAACCCTACAAAATAATAAGACTCCCGCAGAGGTATGGAATAATCAAAAACCAAATCTAAACAAAATTAAGCTTTTTGGCTGTACAGCTTATAATCTCATACCAAAAGAACAAAGAAAATCAAAACTTGATCCACACTGTGAAAAACTTAAAATGATTGGTTATGCAGATAATGGATATAGGCTGTGGAATGAAAATCAAAGGATAATTATTCATGCAAGAAATGTTATCTTTCATGAAACTGAGTATGAAATACCAAACATAATTATTCAAACCAATGAGAATGAAGGTAACCCACATTTTGAAGACAAAGAGAAATTACCACAAGAAGAAATAGAAAGAAACCAAACAGAAGGAGAAATCAGGGAAGAGAATGATGACAGAAGGAATATCAGAAGAAGCACAAGACCTAAGAAACCTCCCAAATATCTTCAAGACTTTGAAACCGAAAGTGATCTGGAACAAAGCCTGTTTGCAGCACTTTCAGCAGGAAATGTCTTGTCAGATATTCCACAAAATTATAATGAAGCAGTACAAATGGATACAGAATGGAAAACTGCAGTTCAAGAAGAACTGGAATCATTAGCAGAGAATGAAACCTGGGAACTAGTTCATCCACCCAACAGTGTTGAAGTGATTGACTCTAAGTGGGTGTTCAGAAAGAAAGAGGTTGATGGAAGAGTGAAAAAGAAAGCACGTTTAGTGGCTCGTGGTTTTAAACAAGGTAATTTAACTGAAGATGTGTACGCCCCAGTAGCAAGGATGGCTACAATAAGAGTATTGTTATCTCTTTATATTGAACAAGATCTATATGTGCAACAGCTTGATGTGAAGTCAGCTTTTCTAAATGGAACGTTGAAAGACCCAGTTTATATGAAACCACCTGAGGGCTATGAAAATCATGATCAGAATTTGGTTTGTAAACTTAAAAAGGCACTTTATGGCCTCAAACTGTCCCCAAAATGCTGGAATTCACTATTCAACGAATCTCTACTAGCATTGGGTTTTCAACGATCCAAAAAGGATCCTTGCTTATATTATACACATGAAATATTTTTACTCATTCATGTTGATGATTTGATCATTTTCTCAAAGAATATGGATAGCTTGAATTTGATAAAAACAAATTTATCAAAGACTTTCAAAATGAAGGAGTTTAAGAATAAAAATATTATATTCTTAGGATTAGAAATAACAAAAATCAATAATGTTCTATATATAACACAAAATGACTTAATCAAAAAGGTATTGAGAAAATTCAATATGGATAGTTGTAAACCATCACATGTGCCAATGCAGCTTAAATTACAATTGAGTAGTGCAACATCTGATGAAAATAGTAATCTACCATTCAAAGAGTTGATTGGGTGTCTCATGTTCATCATGCTGGGTTCAAGACCAGATTTAAGTTTTTGTATTACCTTTTATAGTCAGTTTCAAGAAGGTTTTCCTGCAGAACATTTCAACTATTTGAAATAAGTTTTAAGGTATTTGAAACACACTGAAAATTATGGCTTGAAATTTGTTAAAAGTGACAAATCTGAAGTTCAATTACATGCATATGCAGATTCTGACTTTGCCAGTAACCCTTTAGACCGAAAAAGCATCACTGGACTATCGATAAAAATGAACCAAAATACAATTTATTGGAAAACAAAGAAACAGAATACTGTTGCAATTTCTAGTGCAGAGTCTGAATACATTGCTCTTTCAGCATGTTTAAGTGAAAGTCTGTTCTTGGGGAAGATGTTGTGTGAAATTTTGAGGTATAATATATTTCCTATTTATACTTATGAAGACAACCAATCTTGTCTGAAAATGGCAATTACTTTAGAGAATAAGAGAACGAAACAGATTGCTGTAAAACATCATTTTATTAGGGACTGTGTAGAACAAGAGTTAGTTGTATTAACTTATATACCAACAGAACATCAGCAAGCTGATATGCTTACTAAAGCATTACCTATTTCAAAATTTGTGTATTTCAGGAACTGCCTAAATGTTGTTGATACAAAATGTCATTGACTTTTTTTTTGTGTGCTGTTGTTTTTAGAAAGAATAACTCTCATGTTTAGTGAGTTAGTTATTGAATTCTGAAACCATAAAGCGAATTTTTGTAGAATTGCTGGGGAATGTAGTCAGACAACACTTCTTACTAAAATTTGTTTTATTGGTTACATAACATCTCTACAATAGAAATAAACCCAACCAATAGCAACCGTCCAGTTAGTCGTTGTTTCTTGCTGAATGTTGGAGGTTGTACAAAATATGTATTGAAAGCCATTTTTACTGTGAAATTAAGTAATATAAAGTACAGATACAGCTAGTCATTCATTTGCTTCCAGAAGAAAGCTACCATAGAGTTGAGTTTTAGTTTAGTTATTTTTTATGATAAAATTATAGTTATTTACCTAACAAGTGCAGAAAGTAGTACTTTTCCGCAAGAGTTAGGTACAAGGTTTTTCCTACGAGTGTTTTTGTCCATATTATTTATGAAAAATATAAAAGTAAGTTTTCCGCACGATATTTTCATGCACTGTAAAATAATGAAATGGATTTTTTTATCGATATAATAGGAAACTTATTTGAAGAACATTTAAATAACAATTACTAAAACATTAACGATGTTAAATATTGAAATTGAAAGTGCAATTTGTGTTTGTTGCATGCTGTAATATAGCAGATGGCGCAACATCTTGACGAACGTCGTTTCTTATTTGAATTTGATTGGTTAGTGTTTGGCCCACTACAGAAATGCCTTGATCAGTTTGTTGCTGATAATTACTAGTGTAGTGAATGGAGAATGGTAGATTGGTCTGAAAAGCTTATTTGTTGACTGCCACTACTGTCAGTTTATAGCGACTGTTGCTATGGGTACGATCTGGTGCCAACAGTTATCACCACATGTCTCCTGGAATTTCCTTCGAAATCATGTGGAAAATTGAAAATAATGCAGAAAAGTAAAATCGTACGGAAAAGTACATCTTTTAAAACGAAAAATGTCACGGAAAAGTTACTTTTCGCATGATTTTTAGGAAAACTATTTATCACTGTTCATTGAATCGTTCTCAATATTTTATTGCTCGGTAAATTAACTTGCTCATTCTCACACACTGAATTTGATCTCAGATTTTAATCCAAAGCAAATAAATTTGAGGTAATTGTATCTTGTTTATTCAACGAAAAAATTGATGTCTTGGTTTTTCTCTGTCCTTTCCTCCTTTTTGCATATTGATGAAGCGTGTCATAGATGACTTAAGAAGTATAAATCCTGTAGTCAGGACGATTGATATTTTGTTTTCTTATTATCATGGGCGAACCACATTAGAAAATGTAGAGCAGTTCAATTTTAAGCAGTGATAACCAGCAAAAAATGGTTTTGACTGTTTTTGGTGCTGTTGCATGCAATCATGTCAATATGTTATACATAGCTGTGAAGGAAATTTTTCGCCCTATTCAATGGTATAAAAAACAAATATGGCGCCCATGAGAAAAATGAAAGTTGCATGGTGAATATTCGAAAATATTGATGATAAAATATTTCTGACAATTTCAACGCCTTCTTCATGATTAATAAATAAAAAGGATATCAGTGATTTTCAGTTTTTTCAGAATACTCCAGGAACGGCTGACATTTGTCCCGTTTGCGAAACGTCATATTGATGAGGTTGAAATTACGCAACTTTTGTATAATTTAATCAACTTTTTATCTCATACCGTTTAGTAGATAGAAATACTGTCCCTATTAAATCGTCCGTACCCTGTATACGACGTACGCATCCTAGTTTGTAGTCACCACAAAGGTATATCACACACAGCAATTTTAGAATAATTCTAACAGAAGGACGTAGTATTAATTCAACTGCTGAAATTTGCTAGTGTCTTTTTATCAAATTGGTGAAAAAAATAATCTTTCCAAATACAACTCGTCCCTCAAATTGTATCCGATAACTTTTTATTTTCATCATTCAAACTATTTTATCAGAGGCAAAATCATTCAAACAAACCGTCCTACGGACTGGTGATTTTATCAATTGGTTCATTTTCATATTTTCGCCAAATGAAAATCGAAAAACTTATCGATAATTCGCTAGAAAATATACGTTCCCACCTATCAACATTTTCAAAGCTGACAAAGAGGTCTATTTACTTCGTTTTCATTCACATTTGTTTTTCATTTGTGATGATTGGTCAATCCTTCAAACTGTTCAGAAGTGTTCGAATTGTTGCCGTCAGATGGAGCGACGTGTAACTTTCTATTGTGAATATTTGATAACTGGATATTCGATAACTTTCATATGGATGAATGGTACCTGATGGTAAAAAAGGGTTCCAATAATCAAAATCATCATAATCAAAATCACTCCATTGGTGCTATTGACAAAGTGAACTGTATTAGATTTTTTTTTACAGAGAAACATATTATGAAACCAACAATATCAGGATAAAAAAATCTGAAACTAAAATGTACCAAAGCTGTATCCAATGTAAGTTCAAGGGAAGGCATTTCAACTTCTCATTAGTTGATGGAAATCTTCAACTCTGTAATGGGATTTTTGTGAGGAAGTATTCCAACTTTGTTTTAAATTCATTGAATCTCAAGTCAGAAAATTTATTGGGTAATAAGTTGAAAAGTCCGACTCCTATATCAGCACATATTTTCAAACATGTTGGTGGTAATAATCCATCATTACTGCTCCTATTGTTGTGAGAGTGAATCAGAATGTGACCTCTGAAAGTTTTGCAAATATAATTTCATTAGTGTCATTATTTCAAGCATTGTGAACAGCGGCTTACAGAATTTCTCATTTTCCAAAATATTCGAAAAGCTTACCAGACATTTATTCTCTACCCAAGGATTCAAAAATGGTATTATAAGTCATAATAGAAACTTTTGGATTATTGTCTAGTCTAGTGGGAATGATTACAGAAAAATAGGGAGTTCAAAATACATATCCATGCATAGATTTTGGGAGGATTTAATTCAATGTTCTTAGTGGCATTCGCCAGGAAAGTAGTTGTTGTTTCCTATCTACTATTGTTGTTCATTTTATGAATATTTGTGAACATTCAGCTTATTTGTATTTATTTCACAACATGCATTCGTAAACGGATTTTTCTGAAATTTGGTACAGTTATGTAAGCAACCATTTCGGATTTGATGACATTATAATCTGATATAGCCGACTTCTCGTTTTTCTGGAAACACCAGCAACTTTGTTTTCTCAAACGGAATACCATATCATTATATTTTTACATATTCAAATTCAACAGGTCAAAACAAGTGCAATCTGTATGATAAGATTCAGAAATGTTGTTTCAGATAGCATGCTTGAAAACTCATTGGAACTGCCAGGAAATTCATGAACTATAGTTGTTGATTTTTGAATGCATAGAATTTGTTACTGCACTGAAATGCACAAGATATGTCATTTTTTTCCTCAACATATGTTCTGTGGCCCATAGGGTTTCAATTCGAAAAAAAAAAGACTATTTGATCAACAGGTGATGTGACTGAAATTATTCATCAATGTGACGAAAAATAATTTATTTTGAATAACCATGAACACATGATAGACAGCAACCAAAAATCAATATTGGCCACTATGTAGAACAGAGAAAGTTATAAAAATCTTGATAAAAAAGATGTATTCCTGGTTAAGTCAGAAATAAGGTGTTTCCACACGTATGATCAACCCCGTATATCCGGGAATAAAGTACTCACTTTTAAAAAGTAAAATTTTGTAGCCTATCAACAAAGATGAAATGCCAAACTTTTTCCGTCACAAGAAAACCGCTCGCTCACCTTAGCCGGCGGCGGACTCAGACTCGTCGCTCCCCCGCCGCTCGTCGTTATTGTCACGCCGATCTTGCCGCTCTCTTTCGACAGCACCTCCGCCTTGCGCTTCGTGCCGCCTCCCGCTAGATCCACGCGCGCCGCCAGCGGCCGTCTGTCGTCGCTGCTCGAGCTGTTCGAGTCGCCGTCGACGCCGGCAGAGGGCGTCGTAGCGGTTGTCGTTGTCGTCGGTGTCGAGGTGCTCTCCGAAGTATCCTGCTCGGAACCTGAAAACAAAGTCAAAATATGACTTTTTTTTTCATTTAAAGTTTTTCTCAAAAATTGATATAACTCGGGATATAATGAACATCAGAGTAGGGGTGCGCCCACAGAACTCATAGACATAGAAGGCTAATACAAGTGTGAGGAATCGCTGAAATCTGATACAACCAGTGTGGTTACGGCAATGGTGATCATGCGCACATTGTCGGCAACATTGTCAGTTATATATTCTCATACTCAAATCTCATATACAAAATTTCTGATTATCAAACAGCTTTACAGAAATCATATTATGAAATTTTCACGACAAAATTCATAGACTCACTGATATTAATTGAATGGCTAACAAGTATCATGAACTCCTAATTTCTTACGAGTTCATCTGGCAACTGTGTGAGAATATGCCTCAGTCATTTTGTCTGACGTAGACTCAAGACAGAGCCGGATTAGTTTCAGTTTTTCAGTGTTCTGCTTTGCGTTCAATGTTTTTCGTTAGGGAATTTGAAATTATTGAAGAGTTTCGGTATTTCACTCTAGTATGGGTAATGGGTATAGCCATAGTGACAAGAACGGTACTTATTTCATTCGACATTCATTGGCTGATTTGTGTACATTGTTTTCAAAATGAATGATTTGGTGACAAGATAAAGAACAAATTCCAGGAATGTTTTACTTCCGGTAAATTTATATCGTTGACAATTTTTTTTTCTATAGCTAAAACACACAATGGCTCTTGTTTTACTTTGTTCGATAAATCAATTCGGTAATTTGTATGTCATCATTGTTATTTCCGTATCTGATATCAGAATGATATTCGTTGTGTTATTATTTCACAAAATCCCATCTTCTATGAAAATGTCAAATTTCAAGCCATGACAGCACTGTCTAATGGAAGAGCATTACTGATTTATTTATTTATTCATTTATTTATTCCAACAAACAGGTTTTACCCCAATTACATGTTGTGTGTGTATGAATGGTTGATTGAAGTAGTACTTCATTTTCTGCATCAATCACAGTAATGATACTGTTTTTCCAAAATATACAGTACTAGTCCAAACAACCTGACTAAAATCTAACTTAAATCTAATAATATATACAAAGTATTAACCAAATAAGAATAATTATTGAATTAGTACAGTTTCACTATTTTGTGATAATTTCTTTTTTATTTGATTTCCGAATGTAATCACACTATCTCGAAATATGTCACAGTACGTTTGATTTTCGTTATAGAATATAATATATTAACATGTGGAGATTTCAGTTGGTAATTCGTCCGAGATGTAGTCACTGCAAATGTTTTGTTATTACATGCCCGAGTTCTTGAGTTTGGTATTTGTAACTTTAGAGATGGAAGAGTAGTACAGTCTTGCGCCATATTGTTGTATATTTTGTATAGATACATCAGGGTGAAGTACACTCTTCTATTGAATAAGGACATTAAATTATATTTATTGAGATTTGAGGGATAATTTGATATATGGACACTTTGTATAATAAAATCTGCTTGTCTTATGAACTTTTTCTGGAATGTTTCAAGCATTTGTATATACTTCGTATATAAAGGAGACCAGACTATACTGCAATAGTCTAATTTTGCCCGTACAAAACTGTTGTAAAGAACTTTAAGCGTTTTTTCTGACTTGAATTTTCTGGAATTCCGAATAACAAAGCCAAGATTCCTATAGGATGTTCGTGTTATACTTGTTATATAGTCACTGAAAGATAATTTTTGGTCAAAAATGATGCCCAAGTCTTTCACAGAATGTTCTGAAACTAAATCAATTGTGTTCATCTTATAGTTGAATTCAGTGGTTTGTTTTTTGTAGCTGAATGTAATTCTTTTACATTTTTGGACATTGAAAGGTAAATGATTTGTATGTGACCATTGAAAGACATTATCTAAATCTTCTTGCAACTTCATAGCATCTTCCAAGTTTCAATTTTTGAAAATAGTTTCAGATCATCTGCAGAAAGCAAGACCCTACAGTGTTTAATGCAGCTGGTGATGTCATTGATGAATATTAAAAACAACACAACAACACTCATGATTTATAGCATATGCCTGTTGTCATGATTGAATCACCAAAACTAAAATATCTGGCGAGAAGTTACAGATCTCTGGAATCAATGATATTGAATCAAATTTTAGGCTAACTAAGAGTTGCTTGGATTGCCTTGGTTCGAGATTCAAGATGCCACTATTGAAAAGTTGAGTCCCGTTTTTTTCAATACAACTGAACTATCCAATTTTAGCGAGGTCTCGTTTATTTTTATTCAATTTCTTCTTAAACGAAGCTCCAATTCGAAATTCCACAAGATTGTCTTTCTTTCAGTGGTTTAATAAATAGTTCGGCAAAAAGAAAAAAATCCCCTGTATCTACTCCACTGGACAATTTTGACAAAACTTAGTTGCGTCATTGTATATTAGCTCGCTCATTTCTATCTAATGAAAACTTCAGTTGATGGAAAATACATCGAACCATAATATATTGTTTCCGTTTACAGACATGTTAAGAAATGCACCCCATGTATCTTTAACGTCTGATTTGTGGACATGTCAACATACAATCCAGAGTTTTATTAGTTTTACGGGTCATTGGTTGACTGTAAACATTTTCCGGGAAGTCATACTGGAGAATTAATGAAAAATGCATTCTTTGAAATGTTGAATATGTGGGACATGAATATTTCCAAGGTGCATTTAATGGTACGAGCCAATGGCGCTAATAAAGTAAAGGGTTGCAGAGAGGCAGGAACACCTAGCGTATCGTGTTTTATCCACATCCTTCAGCTGGTAATAACCCAATCTATAGACAGTCAAAGATCTGTTGTGGATTTGATTGCAACTTGCAAAAAAATTGTGGGACATTTTGACCATTCTTTTTTGGCATGTTCTAAGTTGAAAGAAATCCAGGCAGAGTAAGGGGTAGCTCAAAATAAAATAATTCAAGATGTGCGAACGATGTGGAACTTCACATTTTTAATGATTCAACGAATTCATGATCAGAAAATACCTTTAACTATCTATGGAGCAGATAATAATCTGGATAATTCAACAGCAAATCAATGGATGTTACTAGAACCACTGATGAATTTATTACAACCCTTCGAAGAAATTACAAAGAGAATTAACTCCAATGAAGCGCTCATATCTAAAGTATTACACACGATTGTGACTTTAAAAAAATTTCTAATAGAAGACCAGAACACGGCATTTTATGGTGTTGGAACGATGAAAGACATTGTATCTGATCAGATTTAAAAAAGGTTCGATGTTTTATTTGAAAATGGATATTATGTCATTTCAACTGTATTGGATCCGAGATAGAAATTAGCATTTTTTCAAAAAGAAAACCACACTTATTTTAAACAGTGTGTAATTGAAGAGCATATTTGTGATTCAGTACAATCTCCTCAAACAAGTGACTCAGTCTCAGAAGATGATGCACCATTATCATCTTTAGTTAACAAGATAAACAATTCGGTGACTATCGTTGAAGCAGAAAAATCAAAAAGTAAATGGTGGCACTGTTTTTGACGAAATTACAGCTACTGCGAGCACAACTACTAAGACTAAGGACAAAGAACACAAAAAACATATTAAAGAAGAACTTGCAATGTATTTGAACTCACCTTTAATGAATAGAACTGACAATCCAACCAACTGGTGGAAGGCAAAAAAAGGAGCATTTCCAATGTTAAGCGAGATGTGTTCGAAATTTCTTTCTGCTCCTGCTTCTAGCGTTTATAGCGAAAGGTCTTTCTCAGTGAATTTTCAGTATCAAAAATAGGATTTTTTTTGTTTCTTGTTCTTATGTTTCAATGCATAAATATGCCATTTTTATAAAATGTTTCTCGAATAACATATGTTTTTTTTTTACTACGATAACTTTGTTTTGTTTGTGTTTCTTGTTCTTATGTACGATAATGCATAAATATTTTATTTTTATAAAATGTCACTTATTTTCTCTCTATTTTCCCATTTATATTTGTCTCTATTCTGGAATTGTTTGTTTTTATTTAGAAACCTGATATTTTCGATTAAATCGTGATTTTTTTTCCTTAAATATGTATATTGTTAGCGATGATGTTCAAATCACCCCGTAATTGAGAAAAACGCATAAGGAATGCCTTATCACAAGCGGCCTCGACAACTCATCGGTATTCGTAATCATCGTGTGATCGAAGATTGAAGCAGGTTTAGTCATTAGCATCGTAGCATCAGAACGAATCACTTGTCGATGTTGTATTTTTATTAACGGTCATCTTTGTACAAGCCGAGTGAATAAAAATGTGTTTGAGTGTTGAAATTGTGTCTATCTACGATGCTTCCATTTAGAATCTTATATCAGAAGTGCGATTCATCCATTTCTTCATTACGTCGATGAAATATGAAGAATGTGTTAGCCGATGTCTCGAAGAAGGCCAAATCCACGTCAAATCCAACAAAAGGGCTATCAAACAATCCGATTTGCAGATTTTTGGGACCTAATCAGAATATTGCAAGGAATTGGTTACGGCCAAGGTTACGGCATTCACTTGACAAAATAATATTCGAATAATAAGATTTGGAAGTATCGGTAAGAGTGGAATACAAGTGATGGGAATTCATTGGGAATTGTTGGAATTCGATATTCAGTATTTGAAAGACATTACAGAAAGTATTGTGAGAATTCAAGGAGATTTGTTGAGATTCAAGGAAAATTGTGAGAGTTTACGAATCGTGAATGCAATATGGAAATTGATGAGAATTGTGTACAAAATCCACATTGGTGGAATGCCTCTCGTCAAACTTCATTACGCAATCAAACCATGAAATGATTCTAGATAATTTTTGGTCAAAAATGATGCCCAAGTCTTTCACAGAATGTTCTGAAACTAAATCAATTGTGTTCATCTTATAGTTGAATTCAGAGGTTTGTTTTTTGTAGCTAAATGAAATTCTTTTACATTTTTGGACATTGAAAGGTAAATGATTTGTATGCGACCATTGAAAGAC